CTCAGGGCTGAACCAAGCCTTTGCAGAGAGGCCTCCGGGGCAGCTCTTGTGCTGCTCTGCCTCCAGTGGAATATGCAATTGCCCTGATCTCGTCACCCAGCCGCTGCCGGAGCACCGCTTGCCATAGAGCTGCCCAAGCCACGACAGTGCCGGGAGCAGCACCACTTGGGAACGCCGAGAGACTGAGCTTGTCAGTGCTGCTCAAGGGCTGCATTCAGGGGCTCTTGTAGGGTCTTCCCTCTGTGCTTCCTAGGCAGACAGAGATGGCCCTTTGCTTTCAGCAGCGTACACAGGAGTGTGAGCAGGTTTGGTGGGTTGAGCTGAAACAGTTTGGCAGTGGACCCAATAATGCAGAACTCCCTTTTTACTTTGGAAAGGGGTTTCTTGACTAGAGCTCGTAGCTGACAACAATTTGAAATATAGGTCTCCTACATCTAAGTGACTGGGAATGAGTGTTAGGGGTTGGGGTTTGGTGTATTTTTGATTTGCATGCTAGTTGGAAAGCCATTTTTTACCCAGGTAATAATGGTCCAGTTTCTACCTGCAGTGCGGTACCGTCATAGGTAACAGAGAGATGACAATATGCACAGTGGGATTCTCCACTTGACAGACAGTTGTGTTGCCACCTCAGCCATGGGTGGAAATCCCTTTTATTTGTTGGTAATGATTAAAAACAGGGAGTTATTACTAACCAGAGCATTGCAACTGCTTGTGAGAGCTGAGTGACACACCACACCCCAGCCCAGGTCTCATTGCTACCAGCCCCAGTCTGCCCAATTGGGGCTGGTAGCAACGAGACCTGGGCAGTGTCCCTATGCAGGTTGAGGTAGCACCTACTTGGGGGAGGGGATGTGAGGATGGGACACATTTTGTTTGGGTTTTTCTTTTTCTTTTGGTGTCTGTGGCATTGTTAGGTTTTTGAGTGAATTCCTGTTATCCCCATCCTCCAGTGCACCTTCCCTAGCCACTGCAGGGATGAGGTGGGACAGCGGGTCACACACCCTCTGGCAGCTCCATTTTGGCTCAGGAAAGGACCAGGCTCACCCTCTGCCACTCCATCCCACCACACACCAGCCTTTGGGACATGCAGGTGGCTGCCCTAACCCTGAAATGCTTGGTGGGGTGGGCTCCATGATGGGTTTTTAGGCTGGGCCTGGTCAGTGAACAATATAAATATCCCCACGTAGCTGTAGGAGTGTCAGTGCTTGTAGGGCTGTGTGCTTTGGGGCTTCCAGAAGGGTTCTGTACCTGACAAGTACAGCAAGCACTGGCTGGAGGTGTAGGTTTAGCTGATGTTATAGATACAGAGCAGTCAGTGTGATTGGTTTGGCCAAGAGCACGCCATGGGGTTGGGCTTCATTCATGAAGGGTTGGGTCTGAGTTTCAAATGTGTTTGTACCATGGGTGAGAGGGGGGCAGAGGCCTGTCTATCTAATACTTTACTGGTCTGCACAGCAAAGTTTTGAGCATTTCTCCTCTGTTCTACCAGAGGAGATGTATCTTTGGGCTGAGCAAATGTTATGGGGTGGGGGGTTGGCTGTTTTCTAAGAAGGGGGGAGCAAGGGAGGGGGAGAACAAAACCCCGTTTTTAACATTAGCAGTTTTTAGAATGTGCAGTTTAAGGGAAGATGAGAACATGAGCAAAATTGGCACCAAAAACCAGTGCAGGTGGGAGGTGTCATCCTTGTGGTGATGGTCAGAGCTGGGGTTGATGGTACTCTAACAAAGCAGAGATTTTAGGGCAGCTTTGACTGGCTTCCCCATGTCACAGTGACCAATGCTGCTGACTTGGTGTCCTTTCTGCCTTGTGCTCACCTCCATGTAAGTCTGAGCCTGATCTAATCTGATAGGGTTTCAGAAATGAAAGCCAGAATAATAAATGCTGGCTAGAGGCCAGACAACACCACTAGACCCATCAGAACCCAGGAGTGGATAGATACAAGTCATGGATTTATGCAGATTTATTTACTTCTAGAAACATGGCACGTTCCACATTAATTTTACTGCTCTAAAGAGTTCCTGATTTTATATTTTATTTTGTTTTTTTTAACCAGCCAATATAAATTTAGCCTCCAGTTACAGAAATCCCCACAACCAGTCCTGCAGAACCAACAGTTTAACAGGCCAAATTATCGGTCCTGTTACAGTGATAAAACCTGATAGTCCAAATTAATCAGTGAGGCAAAGCCTCAAAAATGCCATAAAACTGTTAGGCAGGAGACACCCTGATGCCTGGGATCCAGCTTCAGTGTCCCTCCAGGTCCTGAGGGCAACTGCTTCAGTCTCCTGGAGCTGAGGTGGGGCTGGAGCAGCATCAGCAGCCTGATCTCTGTGCAGGCAGTGTCTGAGCTCCTCCCCGTCTTTGACAGCAAGCACATGGTGTTGATGCTTCCCCTCTTCTCGGCCCTGAGTCCATTTGGGTTTATTCAGAACCCTTCCACATGCTCTGCCTGTGCCGCTGCCCTGTGTAGGTTCCTGGTTATCCAGTTTTACCGTTCTCTTTGTTGCCCTGGAGTGGTTTCCCTGACCTGCTGTGATCCGGTGGCCCCAGGGCTGTGCTTGGCCATGGCACTGAAATAGCTGAGTCCCCCCACATATCGACTTGGTATTGCTCTGAACTGAAGCAAACCTAAAGCAAACCATAGTTACCTGACGGCTAGGCAACCGCTAGCACGGCTCAACAAGCTGAAGTCAAGCCCCAAGCCTGTGCGCAGACTGGGGCCTTTCAGTGCTTCTGCCTGACATTTCCAGGGCCACTGCCTGCTGGAAAACGTAGTGACAAAGCTTCCCAGCCCCATGGCAGTGCTGACTGAGGGCTGCAGCCACAGCAGGGGCTGGTGGGTGCCATGGGTTGGTTACGTGACTGAGGAGCTCTAGGGAACAGGGGTGAATGGGAGGGAACGTTTGCTTTGGTGTTATCAAGGTGCTTGTACTTCACGGGGTTGAGGAGCAGGTGGTGGCCTAGGGACAATATGAACGAGGACCCCTGTCCCTGGAAATAGGAGAACCAGGAAAAGCGGATTTCCAAGTGTCTCTGTCTTTCAGCCTGCTCTTTTGTGCCATAACATGTATGTTTTAACTAAGGGCGAGGGTCTCAAAAGGCTTTGAGAGCACAGCTACTTATCATTTACAGATGACAAGCTGCCTGTTGTTTTCTGGTGGGCTTGGTAGAGGCTAAGGTATAGCAAAATATCTAAAGTCCACCTCTGCTTTAAACAGATGCATTTCTATCTGCAGGAGTAAGAATTATTTCACTTATTGGCATAGCTGGACAGTTATCTATTTCTTTCTGTTACCAAGGTACTTGTAACTCTCTTGCACTGTTTATCTAAAGTTGGAATATGTTCTTTGAATCCTAGTATAAATAAAAAGGCTGGAGACTTACATCTGTATTTACAGGGCAGTTTTACTTCTACATGCAAGCTGAATTTGGCGTTTTCTTTCTCCGTTAAGAAGGCCAGGAGTCCCAAGGAATGAAATCATGCTTTCAGCCACAAGGCTTGTAATGGGCTGATATCAGCCCTGAACACAGGAGGGAATCTAGGGTCATATGGATGTTATGTGTGCAGAGACAAGGTGAACCTGACTTGAGTCACCAAAGTGCTATGCTAAATGTTCTCTTCCTCACAGAGAGGTGGAAAAAATCATGGCATGTATTATGAGGAATCAGAAACACCCTTGGTAGTCGTCATTGCAAAGTGTTGTGCTAATTGTTTACCATGGCCTTGTACTAGTGCAGGTGTTGGCAGGGTCTTAACCTGCAAGCAAAGCTGGGTTGTCGCAGTGATGGGGATGTTTGATCTTGAGCTGTGCTTGAGACTGCAAGTCCTCAAGTCAGCTGCAGGAAGGTCACCAGTAAACATCCATAGCCTCACTGTGCCTCCTGGACTGGCAGAGCTTTTCTCCAGGCTGGTGCTGTGCCAAGGAAGCGGTGGGGCAGAGGACTGAGCCCATGGGCAGTGGTACCACACTGCAGGAGTGGACACCCTGCTCCTTTAAGGAGGCATCTCAGGGCTGGCATCTCTCTGGCAGGCTGTTGGCACAAGTGATGGCAGGTAAGCAGCACATCAGTTTCCCCGCCCTCTGTGTTGGAATAGGAGCTCATCTCCTCGTCCCTCCCAGCTGATTCCTTACTGGCTGGCACTGCATTTCACACCAACCCTGTTAGTGCATGCCCTGGTGCCGTGACAGCCCAGGTTCATCTTCATGCCAGCCGCAAGTATCGGTCACAAGCTCCTTTTCTGCATCATGGCCAGACAGAATACTGTTCAAGAGGCACAGCCACATGCTAAATCCACCAGGAAGTGGCTGGTACCAGCACCAGTCCTGCAGCACCTGCCTGGTACTGATGGATGTGGCCCTGCCCTGGCCAGGCCCTTGCCCCCTCCCCACCCACCTTGCACAGCTCCAGCGCGTGTCAGCACCCTCGTGCCCTGGCACAGCACCAGCAGTTTAGCTGAAGTCCAGCAAGATTAGCGCTACCGTATCTAGCCAGCCTGGTAAATCATTTTCTGGGCACTCAAATACGCTTTTGTTGTAGGTGAGGGGCCACTACATGATCTGGAGCTGAGATGGAGGTGATCTGAGCCATACTGCATCATTGCACCAATTCTGACCCCAGCAGCAGCCTTCCTGTGAGGAAGAGGCCAGGTTGAACGGGGCTTTGAGTAACACGAGCTAGAGGAGTAACCCCTGTCCGTACCTGTGGCAGGGGCTGGAATTAGATGAGCTTCAAGGTCTCTTCCAACCCAAACCATTCTGTGATTCTATGAAGACAGGATCTTAGCTTCTTGTAAGAAGCTGCTATAGGGCTAGGAACTGTTCAATCGTCTCGGAGTGTTTTTAGCTTTTTTAATGCAGCTCTCAGTATCCAGGAGGCACTAGGACCTGCCTGAAGCCTTTATTCCCAAGCCTGTGCGGTGGAGATAAATATAGCAGAGCCCCAGCATTCCTCAGGGCCGTGCAGCCATACACATTGCGGGGTGGGGGGGAAGGGCATCCTGATCCCTGCTGGTGCAGGACTCAAACGCCGCGCGTCCGCGGCCATTGGGGAGCTGGTGCCGCTGTGGCCTCAGCTGCCGATGCTGCAGCTCAGCCAGGTCACCACCTCGCTGCTCATCAGCAACGCGCGGGCAGCCTGCAACGAGGACCTGCTCACGCGAGAGGGAATCACCTTCTGCGTTAATGTCACCAGGCAGCAGCCCTTCCCCGGCCTCCCGCAGGTCCGGGGCATGCGTGTGCCTGTGTTCGATGACCCGGCTGAAGACCTGTACCAGTACTTTGAGCAGTGCAGTGACGCTATAGAAGAGGCTGTGAGGAGTGGTGGGAAGTGCCTGGTCTACTGCAAGAACGGCCGCAGCCGATCCGCTGCTATCTGCACTGCTTATCTGATGAGACACGGAAAGCTCCCGCTCAAGGATGCATTCGAGGTATTGCACTGATAACCAGGTTTATACTTAGCCATCTTTCGGGTAAGAACTGCAGTGCTTACTGTAAGTAATGATAATGTCTCATAGAATTATTTTGGTGCTGTCACCTGTTTATTGACAGTTAACACAGATATTCATCATTTGAATAAAAATTACACTGTAAGCTTTTTCACCTCCAGTTGGGACAAATGCACTTTCAATGTGAGGCTTCTGGGACAAATGTAATTATGAATGCAGACAGACTTTAAGCAAATATGGAAAGTTGGTTGTTCTGTGAACCTTTTTCCCCATCATTTCCTTAGTCATGATAAACAAAGTTAAAGACGGAGATGTAAAGAAAACGAGGGAAATGGATGCGAGTGTGCAGTTGTTGTTCTGCAGGATTTGCTCTTATGTGACAGCTAACACAGCAAAGAAACATCATCTGCTAGGCCTCATAAGTAACTAGGGACAAGGTAGTGATGAGTGATAGCACCTCAACTTCAGTGGGAAGACTGTCCAATACATGTGACTTGTGATCTACCTTTTAGTGCACACCCATTTGGTAGGTACATCAGTAGAGTCTCTAATGCAGATAACTGTTTTGTTCACTGCTAGACAGAGGCGTGCAGACACATGACCAAGTTTCACACTATATTGAGCATCCTGACACATGAGTAGTGTCACCACACTGTGAAAGACATTCACAGGGACCCCATGCCAGGAGATCAAAGTCAGCTCTCCAAAATATCTGTTTATTATTCCATAGCCAAATCAAGAGCCTTAGAGGAAAAAAATCCATTTACATGCTACCTGCCCTTGCTTCTACAATGCCTCTCCTCTTTCCTAGACTGTGAAGACTGCCAGACCAGTAGCAGAACCCAATGCGGGATTTTGGTCTCAGCTGCAGAGATATGAAGAAGATTTGCAGATACCAAAGCAGTCTGACCACGTGAGCAAAGGGCTTAAAAATAGCAGCGTGTGAAATGTTTTAAAGAGAATTAAGTAGCTTGCAATAGATTTAAACAAACAGGAAGAAAACCGCTTCATCTATCAGCTGTACATAAAACACCTTCCTCCCCAAACTGAGCTGATGGTTCATTAAAATCATTCAGAGCATTGCTGTGGAAGGTGCATGCACAATAAGCAGGGAGAAACAGCAGAAACAGAAAATGGTTGGAAGGCCTGTAAACAAACCAGACAATGGCATGGTATCTTCAGCATTTATTTTCACCTGAATGACACTGAATGCAATAACATATTGAATGAACGAGTTAATTGTCACTGAATAGGGATTTTGCTCTTGGTTTTTAACTAAACTTCCCAGTGACTCCACAGTATACACTGTCCAGAGGACAATATGCAGACGATGGTGAGGAGTTCAGCTCCCACCATGCCAGTTAAATGACTTTTCAGCTTTTGAGATTATTCTCCAGAATATGAAAGGAGTTATTTTAAAACCAACAGTTGACAGTGGGGGGAAGAAGATGACACTGGCAATCTAAAAGTAATCCTAACACTTGTCAGTGCCCAATTCATGCCTTGATGTGTCAGCGTACAAGTCAGCTGTGTCTGCATGCAATCAACATGGCTAAATCATTTCTGCTGAAAACTGCATGCAGGTTTCCCTGTGAAATTATCTATTAGGATATCAAGGAGGCCACACAAAACTTCCAAATCAGACTACAATTGTGTTTAGGATAAGTCAGTAAAAGCAGAGAGAAACACCAAGGTATTCTGATGATCTGTATATAAATACATCTGTATTTATATATATGTGTATATATATATACACACATATGTACATATATATATGTATATAAATACATCTGTAATTTAAAAGGGACAAGTTATGAAACCTGTGAACCTGCAGTGTCAAATTCCATTGCACATTGCTCAAAGCATCAGTACAAAGTAAAGTGAGCTCATTGTCACCTGCCGGAGTGCTTACACAAGGCAAACACACACTCTCAGTAGTGGCGTGGTTTAAAGCAGAAATTCTGATGGTGGAGAATAAAGGCGCAGGGGAATTACATTGAGCAGACAATTCACAAGCAGTAGAAATTCTCAGACTTAAAATAGGGTTATTTTTAAAGCTGAAATCATAGAAATAAAAGTTGAAAAATGGGCCTATGATCTTCTTAGGTACCACAAAGCATTTTAGCACCAGGTGTTTTCTGCACTCCCAGCTGTGTCTGGTTCGTTCCGCATCATATCTGTATTATATCTGATATCTGCATCACAACCAACAAGAACTTTGTTGCACATCTGCAGACCTGGAGGTGAGTGGTTATTAGGGAAATGTTTGTGCTTGTTTTAAATCTTGACCATCATATATGGTCAGTATGAATTTCAGGTGAGACTTCTAGCCCAGGTTTATAGATTATATCCTTATTCATGGATAGCGTACCACTCATTAAAAAAAAAACCAAACCTGTTTCAGTTAATCATCTGTGGAATAAAGTTTATTTCCTGTCAAAAGCTAAAGCTGCTGAACAAAAGTAGGAAGCTAAACACTAGTGCAGACCCCATCCATTTCTAACTGTGAGGTGTATTAACTTGCAGTTAGCTACAGCGTATCAGTTCCGCATTTTTGAGTCTGCCAAAATAGAAACAGTTGCTCTCGATTGTTAGGATACACTGAACACTGAGGTTAACCTTTATCAGGCTCCTAAGCATGCAGAATACCTGCATGCAGCAGCATTTCACATCTCAGCATCTTCTGTATAATCCTGTTTACAATTGAAAACCATCTGGAAAACCATTCCTATTGACACTGGAAACCATACCTCCTCCTTTGTACTGCTCCAAATTAAGATGAAAGATTGCAGCTTGGAACAGGAACCCTGGGAGTAGTTCGCTTCTTTATTTGCGGTCATAACCTACTAACGTTACAAGTGATGTAAAAGGTAACCTTAGACGTACTCCTTGTTGCTTATGACTGTCTCAGAGTTTTTGGTGTACACATCCGGCTGAGGAGCTGCGTGGCCTGCTGAGTATGCGTATTTGTTGAAACTGTGAATTAAGAAGAAAGAGATACAAAACAATAGCTATTATGCACACATCCACAGCTTCAGATACTTGGGAAGTTACTCATTTAGGTCTGTATCCAACCCACCAACAGCACATACTTCAGGAAGGGGCAGAAATTAGAGGCCTATTGTTCTCAACAGTCTTGCACCTAACGGAAAACAGATGAGCTACTTGACAGAGAGCACAGCCATCTCTCTGGTAATGAGAAACACACCCTGGATTCCTAACTCGCATGTGCTCTTACTCAAGGCATTTTAGTCAAGTCCCTAAAGCAGAAGAGAACCTAGACCTTAATGCCTTTGTTTAAACTGCAGTTTTAATACAGGAATCAAGATGATGAGAAAGGAAAACAGAAGTCTCTTCAGCCAACCCCTTCATCTGTCATTTGTCATGTTGAACTTCTGTTATTCCACTCATCAGTTTTACTTCAGGATATTTGGTACTTTGTAGGGTGAGAGAGATCTAAAGTCCAATGTGGCTGATGAAATATTACTGTAAAACTTAATTGGTTTCAGATTAGGCAATGGAGTATCAGAGGAACACTCTCACTTATCATCTGTTTTGACATAACTTTCCTAAGATTATTCCTAAGTAGCAAGGAGCATGCTTCTTCCTTCTATGTTACCATCCTTCCAAGCTTAGCCAGTACATCCTCCAAGCCATTTGGGTTCTTCTGAGTAGACATGGACCTCTGCTGTTTCTGACAATTTCACCCCCTCTCCTTCAAAAAGTGACTTTCTGTGAATTGTTATGTGTGAATAGTTAAAGACTGGAGAAAAAATAAATAAATCCAGGCAAGGTCTGGAGGCCAGAAATACTCAACTTGTCTGTTTGATGTCTTGTTAGACATTTCCATAAGGAACAAAAAAAACATCATATGCATCTAATGATCAGTTGGATCTCCCTTGGGAAGGAAATGCCGTTACACTCTCTGCAAGGTAAATGGTGTTTGAATGTTTTAATGCTAGTGAGTATTACACAGAAACTTGATCTAATATGCTGTATTCTTTGATATAATTTCCTTTTGGCAGTAGATAGTTCTCTCTTTCACTGCACATCATCATGTAGATCTTGGAACCATTAGCAGTACCCAGATTTACCAAATACTAGTTACAGGTGACCAGTGATTGCAAAGCATCCACAAGTACACTGTCTGGAAGGTACAAGTATTTGGTACAGCATCCCCTGCCATCACCGGTCTGTGACATGCCGTAACACCACTATAGGTACAATTTGCTGTTTGTGCTTTCTATGGCTACAGGAAGCGAGAGTGAGAGAGAGAGAGAGAGAATAGTACACAGTAGACAATGGCATATAATTGGCAACTGCTATTTCAACTGCCAAATCCCAGATTACCTGTAATCCTGGTTTTTCTTCGCTTTGCATGAACAGGTCAGTAAGATCCCACCAATCATACAAAGAGCAGATCCAGCCCAGCCTAAGTACAGAGCGGTTCCTAGTTCATACCTGAAACATGAGAGATTTTATGGAAAGAGCACGTAACAGGATCACAAAGCCATTATTTTAGACTGAGTCATAAGGTACGTAAATCATGCAAACAAGTTCTAGTCTGCATAGAAAGCAGGTAACTGAAAGATTACTGCAACAGATACCAGAGGAGAACAGATCTGGCTTTGTGTCAGTGTTCCGTCAAACTCTTACGTGTATTTAGAAGTGCTCTGCCAAGTTAGTGACAGGACGTACTAGGCAACACAAAGATAAGCAGCAATGAATACTTGCATGTATTTCATAAATTGTTGATAATAAATAATGATAATATACCTTCTGGGCAGTCCACAACACTTACTTTGCCCTTGTATTGGCTGTGCTGCTTAAGTAAGTTTGTGAAAGTCAATGATTTAGACCTTACTGTCTGTGTCATAAGAAAAGGCTAACCGTAGAAATCAGTTTTCTATGGACATGAAACTAGATCACCTACAAGTAGCTACTTGTACAGGGCTAGTTTTCAGATTTACGTATCCTAAAGAATATTTAGCACTCTCTGTGGTTATATGGCTGAAATATGTTTATGGATAGTCCCAAGCTGAAAAGGAATAGTTCCCCATTTTACTGTACAAAACTACACCTCTGAGGAAACCCCCTGGTCCAGTCCAAGAAATTCACTGATGATGAATTTGACCCAAAGACTATGCACAATCAAGCCTGGCCAAATCTGACAGGAGTTTCACATAAAGAAGAAAACAAGTTTCTATATTCAGACAAAGACTATATCCACGATATGGCTGTACCTATGTGCTCTGAGACACCTGATACAAGGGCAAAATAAGTGTCACAGACTGTGTAGAAGGTATCCTGAAGCCAGATATGTGTGGAGTTTTTCCACTTGTAAACAGAAGGTCATTATTTAGAAGTGTCCAAGTTTCTGACTCAGAATTAATTGCTAACAGGAAGGTTTACACAGGTTCGTTGTTCTCTGTGTTCTCATCCCACGTTGGAACCGCAAGGTGTCCGCTGTTTTAGGCACTCTCCGAACATGGAGCACGGAGATAATAATTATCTCAAAATGCAGGAGTGCAAGTTGCTGGAGGAATAATAAGGAACAGAGAGTGTTGACCCGTGCATGCCACCTACAGAGAGGAATACTGTAGATGTCATTCATACCAAAGCAAAGTACATCGGAGAGATCTGGAGAACTTGGGTTGCTCTCACAGCTGTGTGAGAAATTCCCTGAAGAGTCAGTAGAGGTTAACTTTACTGATTTGCTGAAGTCAGGACAAAAAGATGCAATATGGAAAAACAGATTTGCTGGTCTCTGAAAGGTGAAGATCAATACCGACCTGCAACTGATTTTAAACCTGTCTCACAGAGTCCAAGGAGCACAAACTTCCTCAAGAGCATGCCTGGCTTTGCCAGTTATCAAAGTTAATTCACTAGGAACCTCTTAGTGAATTGATAGCATTAAACATGAAATTTAGATACTAGAAAAGAAGAGGTTTCTTTAGCTACTGAATGCAAACCACCTGGTAACTGATTAACATGCATCGATGTTGAAGCCCCAACACTGTAGCAGATAACTATAAAACTCACTAACTATCCCACTAACTGAAATTCCTTATCAACAGTTGTTTCAGTCCTCTAATGTATTTATTACCCTTCATATAATTCCCTCAAGGGGATATAAAACAACAAAAAGTATTCACAAGTGCAATTTCTTTGTAAGTGCTTGTTTGAAAACAGAAGGAAAACTGACAAACATCCAAAGCAATTGCTTAAAGTACTTTGATTCGTAACAGAGCACTTCACCTCTGACTTCCCTGAACTGGTTCTCCATACAAAGCTTACAAAACACTTCAAATATGATCCTAGCAACTAAAGACTGATAGTTTATTGATTGAAAAATTATATACTTGGTAGAGGTCCTGGCAAATGATAAATGTCCCCTTTTCCTCAAACCTGCTCTCTCATGTTCCATACACAATATATTGTTTCCCTTTCCCTTTTCCCCCCCTCTTTGAAGGAGAGGCCAGGTCACCTCTACCCTTGTTCCTCATTGCTAAATATGGCCCCTAGATAAGGTGCCATAAGCAGGCATTTGGTTTTCAAGACAGCTTTTATATCGTATGTTTTCTAACAGCTTTTACGTCAGAGAAGAATCTGGGCTTTTATACCTTGAAACTTCTTTGTGTGCAACTGTACAAGCTGAAAGCCTCACAGATTTTGCCTCATTTTAATTCACGAGGCAAACAAATGTTGAGCTGTTAATATAGGATGAATTTTTCATTTCTTCAAGACAAGCAACACATTACAGGGATGTTTCTCAGCTGTCTGCAGGTCACTATCATGCAGTTCAAGCTGGTTTCTCTATGCCTTTTTAGTTGCTTCTACATCTGAGGCATTCCATTCTAGCCATAGCTAGAATTCTGCACCTCTTTTGGTCTAAATGCTGCAGAAAATGAAGAGTTTAACTTTTCTTCTCCATAGCACTGGGATGTGAGGTTAATGGCACAGAAGCCCCTCAGATGTGGGGTTGATGTTCCCCACACATTTATTAAACTTTCTAGAAGAGAACTCTCCTCCCTCCCCACCAACATCTCTGAGGTGAAAAGATTCCCCAAAGACAAATCTTCCCTCCTGCAGGACTGGATAATGGGATCCATCCAGGTTCTGAAGCTCTGGAGCAGCTGAGGTTAGTGCAACCGTCTGTAACACATCATGCAGTTTGGTATGAGCGATCTAAAGACTTACTTGGTTCCAGCATACAGTGGGTCAAAAAACTGAGCAGTAATCATCGCAGCATACCAAGAAACAGCCACCATGGAACAGAGACCTACCAAAGTTTAAAAAGCACAGAGGTGAATGACTCCTTTAATGGCTCTGACAGCTTTAAACCAGGAATGTTTCATTTAATTTAACTGGGAAAGCAATACAAAATGTGAAAGAATTCTCATTTCTGCCTCATTATTACCTCCTAAAATAAAGAGAAATCCTCCTGTGACGGCAAACTTCATTTTCCCATCTTCATCGCTCAACCCAATCTTTGTGCACTTCAAACCAAGCAGCGAGAGTACTGCAGCTATGAATCCCAAAATGATGGAAGCAATCATCAAGGCACGGCATGCCTGAATATAAGCTAAGGAAGAAAAAGAGGAAACAAATCAGGATCCATACTGAAATTAAATGAATCTTGTGCTGAAAAAATAGAAGTTATTAGGGGAGTGACAAAATTAACAGAAGCAGTAATGAGGGAATCTTCTGTTTGCTATTTGGTTCAACGAAGCATTCAGACCCTAAGAGTGTTTAGCCTTTAAGGTTTCAGAGTTGAACTACACTTAGACTTTATAAACCCAGTAAGTCTTCTTGGGCCTTCAGTAAGGCTCCTTGGGTTTAGTGAAACCTGAAGCACCATTATAGCAAGCCCTTCATAGCTTACATCTTGTGGGTCTTGTGAAAATGTGTAGCAGTATATATGGTCATTTACAGGAGCAGAAGTAAGTTTCCTGCTCAGAAGTCCTGGTGACTTCTTTATACCTGTACTGCCGAGCACACAGGACACTTCTGAACTCCAGGTCCTAGCCAAGGTGTGCAGGGCTCTGGCAGTAGAGAGGAATTAGGAAAAGCCTGCCAGCTTTGCTACTTCCAGTGAGAGGTGGGAAAGAAAGTGCTCGAGTTAGCAGTGCACTCTAAACTCTGAGTCTAGGTAATGGTCGGGAGACAAGCAGAGCTAAGAGCTGCAGCACCCCTCTGTAAGACATAATCCTGCAGAGAGGTTACATGGGCACATCTGGGAAGTTGGTATGCTCATGATTCTGCATCACTTAAGCTCCCAGTCTTCACACTTAGGTGTTGATGGCACAAAACCTGAGCAGATTATTATCCAGCCTAAGAAGGAAGGTCAGACAGGGACTCTGGGCTCCTTTAAAATGTCACCCTGTATTTGGCAGGTTCCCGATCAAATGGCCCTTTGGCACCTTTCTAACGAGATAAACATGCCAAGTGTCACCAATCTGGCAGGTCTTGCTTGCTAACCTCATGGGATTCTGTGATCTTACAGGATCTTTTCAAATCCAAATGATGCTATGGCTCTAACCAAACATAAAAAGGGTCAGTCGCATCAGTGATGCTAGTATTCAAGCCCTTGCTCCCTAATTACCTCCATGTCATCCATGATAACCTGCTCTCTAGCTCTGTAATGGAGTGAGCCCATAACCCTCCAGAGAACAAAAGGCAGACCGAGAAACAGGAGGTGAAGTGACAGATTCATGCTCAGACTTACTTAGTGGTCTTATAGCTTTATGTGGCATTAGAGTATTGGTCCTGCAAGCATTAGTTATCAAAGACAGGAATAAGCAGTCATGAGACAAATACACAGAAGCACAGGATAACATCATTCAAGGAATTAATGTCTTGTTAAGCACTAATTTTAATTTTGGGGGAAAGAAAACCACACAGTACCATGAACAGTTCAAGATTTCTGCCTGCAGAAGATACTCTTAGGACAAGCGCTCAACTTTGGCACTGCTTTCTAGTCTGGGATCTTACACCATGGCAGCAGGAATACAGCAACTTCACCTTTCAGGTCTTTGGGAGTCAGATGGGATGGGATACATTAGGTGTGGTGCAGTATTAGATGGGATTCCCTGTACCTTTTCAGGACACAAAAGCTCACCCTCAAGCTAACTGCTTGCAAGCAAAGAGCTGTATTATTTTAACAGAACAGATTTCATACCATACCCAATAGCCAAAAGCTGTATTATTGTAACAGATTTCATACCATATCCTCTTAGTAGCACAATACAATAACCTCGACAGCCTTGGCTTAGGAGCTTACTTCACAAGCCAGGCAGCTCAATTTTCTGTTGCCTTTATCTTAAAAATAAGCTTACTGGAAAAGACACAAAATCTGTTTATCAATCAATACTGTTTTTAATAAATGATCCATAGGAAGAAATACCTATAGAACCTGGGGGGGGGCTGGGGAGGGAAGAGAGTTTAAAAAGCATTTGGCAGCTAACTAATTGCTTTATATGAAATGCTTGATCTAGTTGTAACTAAACGATTCATGGGTTCAGTCTCATGCAGTATTGCTTTTAAAAAGGCCCTCACTTCAATCATTTGTGATTCGGGCTAATGGCTGGCTGAATGCAAAAGCTTTAAATCTGTTAAAAAGAACCAACTCTGGTATTTTCCATGCACACAACAAAATCCATACCATCTATCACAGCTGCCAATAAGGAAACCTTCATGGAAAATCTTTATGGTCCTTCTGATGAGAGTTAACAAAGACACTTTTGTTTCTTCTTTTTTATCCTCGTGACAATCCCTGGCATCTTCTGCTGCAGCAATTCCAGCTAAGTTTCTAAACAGCAATTTGAAACACACCTAAACTGACAATGATAATTTTTACCCTGCCTTGACCCCTACCTGCAAGTTCTACAGACATTTCTTGGAGGTCTCAGCCCTCATTGCTACCAACTGCAATTTCTTCCTCTTTCCTGCTTTGCCCAGATGTCCTTTTGACTTTTTCTACAGTTCAGTGTCTTCTAATTTGCTTCTTTTTCAGGTTTCCTTTCTAAAACCCTTTTTTTCTTAACAGTTCTGCAAGCTGCTTTTCCATTCCCTCTCCCCTCAAATACACTGCCATCTTCTCAACAGTGTAACTGATCTCCTGTTCAACAGATTAGATTTAGTCTTCACAAATTCACTTTCAGACCCTGGCCAATTCATTTATGTCTGTCTGGCCCTGGTTTTTAACGTTCTGCTGGCTCCATGTTGTTAGCTGTAAGTCTCCAGGAGCCTTGCTGTTGCTTGCCTTTAGTTCTTTGCTTTAGCGCACTCATGGTACTCTTTGATGATCCTCCTGCCCACCTCCATTTCTTTAAAACCCACTTTTTCCTCAGCAGCTCCAAGATGCTCCGAATATGGCCCCATTGCCCACATCTGCACAGATGGGAGCTCTGTGACACTCTCAGAGACAACACCCCGTGTAAATATATCAAAGACAAGATGCTGCCTAGAGTCAGTAGCAGTAGGTTATGAACCAACCCTTGAAGTGGTTTACACATGACCCAAATGAACGCTCACATAAGGACATGATCCTGCTGTTTCTGAGTCTAAGAAGTTTAAACAGAGTTATGTTCCTCTTCATTCACACAGGCATTTTAAAACCAACTATTAGATAGCACTGAAAGATGGAAAGAACAGATTATTCCCCAAATACTGGACACAGCTTCAGAGAATTGCTGTGGTAGTGTCAGAGGTGGTCAGCAACATAGTTATATTTCAGACTGAGAGGGAAAGTTCATTTAAGACCTTCTGCCCACTAATCCTATACTACACTGTCTTCAGATTATGAGTAACCTCCTACCTATTTAGTTTAGCTACCTCCCAGTGTAAATTCAACTACACAGGAAGGCATTTTTATGCTGGGATAAGTATCTACACACCTAGTTTTTCAAGATTAGTGAAAACCAGCTTTCCTGCCTATAAACGTGCTTACTATTCATGGAGCAGTGCTTTAGTTGAGCATTTAAGGACCATCCGCAATTCTGATGAAGACTGATACAGGACAGCAAATCTAAACATCCTGATATTTAGAAACACATCCAAGAAGACATTAGTTAACAAGTCCTGAAGTATATTAATTTATAACATACACTCACTGTATAACTTATACTATATTTATAACAGATACTCATTGTATTTCTTGCATTATCTATGATTTTCAGTCTCAACACACAAAACCCCATTGCCACTTCTTAGCTCTAATTTTTAAATGCAAAAACTCCAGCTACAGTACATTAGCTATCAAGTACTGCAAAAGAAGCCCTATACAATAATTCCAAATAAACATGGAACGGTCATAGAAGATGCGTTAAAAGATGTCTCCTGGTAGTTCTTCCCACAAGATGCTAGAACAGAGATTAGACCATATTTTAAATCAAGTGATTTCATTTGCCTTATTTTATAGCCATTTTCAATGTGCCTGACACATTCCGACGCGTAAGAGGTTCTTATTACTTCAACCCACAAAGTACTTCTTGGCCAGTTATTCTCCAGTACTCCCAGTTTAACAATCAAAAGCCTTAATACTTTTTTACCAGCAAATTTTCAAGCTGTGTGAACAAGAATGCACAGAGTCACATACCAGGCAATGCAAGCAGAGAGTCAAATTCTCTGCAGTTGGATACTCCAATGCTGTCTTGTGCACAGCTCTTCCACAGGTTTTCAAACAACGTGGTCGTTGTGATCACACTGCCATGTAAACTGGAGACTTTCCAGTAGTTATTCGGCAAAGTAGCTCCAATAATTGCCAGCCCACCCAAGCACAAAAGAAGACTAACAATTTCCAACGCAGAAGTCATCCTTGTGAGTAGCAACAGTTAAATATCCCTATAATTAGATTACGATCAAGTGAAGCCTTCAGAAGCCTCCTTGCTGTTTAATCTCTGGGTTTCACTCCAAAATGAGGCTACCTTTGCTCTTTGCTCAACCCCAGATAAGGCTTACAGTGCATGACAATAAGAAGTGGGAGCAGTTCATGATAAAGATATTAGCGTTTAACAACAAAATGACAAGATTCATTCTTTTCTCTAAGGAGAAGTGACAATATCTTGCCTTAGCCTGAAAGCCCAGTCAGTATTTCTACAAAATATCTTGTAACAGGGATAATATTGGCAAATACCTTATTTCTGTTTCTCCTCTGGAGTCAACTAGGGTTTACACGAGATTGAAATGTTTTTTCATTTTATTATTGCTCTCAAGTCAAAAAGATTTACTCTGTTACATTATTGATGACTGAAGCATAAAAAAGCTTGAGAACAGGAATTTTATTCTGTTGCTGTAAAATTTAACAAAAGAAACTCTTTTTTTGAAGTTACAGTCATGAGCAATCCATTGCAACTCTACTGCCAGCTTCTTTCAGGAAGGATATGTCTGTGGGTGAGTGGTTTCCATTAATATTTTACAGTCTATTGATCTACAGTTGAACACATCTGATCTTAAAAATAGTCCCACTTACACTGGGATACAATTATAATAATATATAATATAATCTATTTCACAGAAATGAAACAGAAGGGAAGAGATGAGCCACTCTGACAGACCCATCTTGAAAGGAATAAAATGATGAAGGAAACCAGCTAGCTGAAAAGTCATAAATATCAGCTGCTTGCATCTGTTTGTCAGAATATTGTGATATTAAAACAAAATGTATCTATTCTCGGCAGAGTAGAAGCATGTTAAGTTTGGTTTACTTGCTTCTTGACTGAACAAACCCATAGACTCGCTTCACATCACCCACTGATGTTAATACCTTCACCGGTTTGTGTATCCAAACGGGGTTAACCATCTCTTGCAGTGATAACCTGCTCTTATCTCCAGGAAATGGAGTCACAGTTTCTTCATAAAATAATCCTGCTATGACGCAACATGGTAAGAGATTCACAGCATTTACATAAAGGCTACCACAAGAATTAGCCGCTGTGTCACAGCATGCCCGTAACAGATACATGGGGTTTCTTCCACAATGCACTGGTCAGCTTGAGCTGATGCTGTAGGTTGGTGGGTTCATGCAGCCTTGACAACTGAGAGGATCATTGCTGTTGATACAAATAAGAACAGCTGTGCAAGCACAGCCAGTGTGATCCTGTGTAGCTCTATAGTTGCAGACTATTAAAGAAACTAGATGGCGTGTGGTAAGAACTGATCTCCTCTGGTGACTTGGAAGCATTAGTTCTGGGCTCCTGCTGCAACAGAGTTAACAAATTTGAAGAACTGGCAAGTTCTTGCACAGGAATCACTGCCTGGTTACTTGGTTTTGGAAAACCTTCCTGGTTTCTATTATCCCAAATGAATTTTTGGCTTTTAAGGAGGTTAAAAAACAAGCTGAATCTTGAGAGTTAAACTCTCACATTTGAGATATCTGCCATAGGCAGCTCTGACTTTAGTGGAGTCCATGTTTACGTCAAGAAAAACAAGTGTTCATAACCTGTGAGAGGCGGCATTTACAAGTTTTGAGCTCTGCACATAGAGGCTAAGTGATCTGGAAAGAGTCCAAACAAACAGCAATGACAGTAATCAAGGATCTATAAAGCAAGGAAGGCTTGAAGAAATGATTCCATGATACAACTCATAAAGTGACTGCATGACACTGAAAGTTGTAAAAGAATAAACACTGGGTTGTTTTGAGCTCAGAGCTTAAGAAAACACCAGGTTTTAAAGGGTATATTGTGACTGTGCCAGCACTCAGTTTTCTGAGGAAAGAACTTCAGTGTCAGTCCTTCCTGGTCCTTTACTATAAAAGTAGTGTTCACAGAAAGATATTTTTTACGTCTAGAACAACCTAAATAGATAATTTTAAGTCCCTGCAAAGACAAATCTCCTTCTGTTTGCTTGTAAACTACCCTGCTAGCACAGCCTATCTCAGAAAACCCCAAAGAATCAGTGGCACAGATGTGTTTTAGTTTAAGCTGGCCACTTCTGAGAAATCCCAGAACAAATACACAGATTCAGCACCAAATATCAAATAAGTTCTGGAGCATATAAGAACTTCTGACTCACACCAAGGCATGAAAAAGCACCAGTGTTTGTTGACCTATGATCTGCTTTTAGTTAGGCATTAGGCCAAGTAAAGCATGCTAGTTCTTCCAAAATAGTAATAACAGATAAAAAATAATTAATTATCATAATTATCATAATGAATAAATAAAATTATCTTGGATTCATTGTGTATCTATGTGCACACAACAGAGATGGCAGCAAAGCCACATCAGTTACTGAGCTGAATTACAGCATGAAGACTATAGATTTCACTGGGACCCTTTAACCTGCCTGCAGGTACTACAGGACAGATCCTGTCCATACTAGACCCTCTGTGACCACTGCAGTATATGCTGCCCCACCGCTCTAGCATGGTGGCCAGAAGGAAGGAATAGAATTACATCCCTGGATTATATCTCCGTATGCCATGCCGACTTACTGTCTGAACTCAACATGTAGAGAAATTTCTTGCACTGAAGTGATCTAACAGCAGTCACTGCGCAGTCCATCCAAAGGCCTTCAGAAATCCAGTCTGTAGTAACTAGCACTGTTCCAATGTCTGAAACCTTCCATCTGTTGGACATGGTAGTAACAAGTAAAATGGTGAATCCTGCTAAAGCCAGCAGCAAGGAACAAATCTGTAGACAAGATGGTGCCATTCTTCTGACAGGAGTTGTTTCCAAAGAAGCCTTCCCAAAGTTCTGATCTTAGAAACCTGTTGGATGGATTTATACACACAGAGAAGTTGGAGTTATCTTTACATAAGCCAGACCTTTGTGAAAACCTCATAAAGATGGCTACCTAAGAACTAATTCATTACATAATGGAATTGTTGAAATGGAATCTAAATCTCCCTAAATAATTGGAATACCTAAATATTCCATGACATCTGAGTATTTTCTTAGGAGCGCTTTTATTACTCTACGTGTTTACTGTGTAAAATACTGACAGAGCAAAACCAGAGAACCCAGCTGAGGAAAGAATTCTCTAATTTGAATTTGCAGTGTTTCATCCATTCTTTACTTGTTTGCCAACTCAGAACTCTTACAAAACAGAAACTGTAACATGCCTTAAGAAGTTATTAATTTCCTCATTGCAGTGCCCAGCAATACAAATGGAAAACAAAATAAATGTGGATACTCACGTTTATGGTGTTTCTAATGCATTTCATCTACCTTCCTGCTAGACACTGGTGTCAGCACTTTGTGAAGATGAGTTTGATCAAACAAGTGACGGGTTTGTACCCTTTAGAACCTTTTCCCCCGTTCTAAAATCAAGGACCAAGGGCCAAAGCTCTGCCGACTGTTGCACAAGAGCTCAGACTTGGCTTTTGGCTACAGAAACGGACAACTCAAACAAGATTATAACAAAATCATGTATATTAGCACCAAGGGCACTCGGTTGAACCTGCAACCATTGGCATAGAGTTTGCTTCATCAGTGCCACTGAGCTTCTCACACCCCATTGGACTCCAAAGCAATATAGAAAGCTATTCCCATTTTCACAATGATTGTTTTACTTGAGAGTTTTGTCGCACTTTTCCCCAAGGCACTGTTTTCATGGGAGGAGGCCTGGGTCCACATAAGCCAGGCAACAACTGGAGGCAGGTTTTGTTTTAGGAGGCAGCCCACACTGTGAAGGAATAGGCAAGTTTCCTGCATTAAAACAAAAGGATTGGAGCCTCCTCCCATCCTCATGCATTTTAGATGGCTGCAAGTCTGGGAATTTGCAAAGAAAGAAGGATTAAGTTTATGCCCCTTTTTCAAATGTGTACATTCCACTGCAAAAGTTTAATTTCACATTGAGAAGGGACCATCTGTCCCTCAAGTGATTGCGTAACCTCTTCAAAACACACTCAGCTGTCAAAGAATGTCTGTAATAAATGATGCATTTAAATGAAGCAGGCAAATAATCCTAACAAATGTTTCTTACCTATTACATTGAGATCACCTGTACAGCAATGCATTCCTGGCAGTAAGGAGAAGAAGAAAAGAAACTCAGATGCTCTGCACCATCACTGTGGGTGAGACATATGCCAAAGTTGTAAATGCAAACTTCTCGTTAACATACAGTAATTAAAAAGATCGTAGGTTTCAAAGTGAAGCTTGGAAACTATGTTTCACAAATACAGAAGCATAGAAGCATGGAATGGTTGAGGCTGGAAAGGACCTTTTTGTTTTCCACATCTTCTGGAGACAAGCATGCAATGAAAACATGTATTACTTGGAAAGCAAAGCATGAAGTGCTGGTATTTGAATCCTTTGGGCCCGGTGATGCGTCACATATAGGTAGACCATAGAAGGCAGGAACAGAGAGCCCTAGAGCCTCTCCTTAAATGCAGTGGATAAAAAAAAAAGGGGGGGGGGGGAGGGGAGGGAGATAAGTAAATAAATGCTTTTGTGTTTGTTATATTTCCCTGGCAGCACCTAAGCCCTGTAGTGAGTAACCAGTGCAGAAAGACAGCAGCCCAGTGGATCACATTAACAAACAAAACTGTTTGTGATTTCAGGTGTGCCCAGAGGCAGGGCAGACCTCCCAGACTCCTGGTCCTGAGCTGCAAACGCTTTGCTGCTGTTGTTTCTCCTCTGTCTTCCTCTGCCCCAAGGAGCCACTGTCACTCATCCCTTCCTGACCCTGCTGCTACCATGCAAACCCCATGGAACGCTCCAGATGAAAGCTTATTCTGGGCAGCAGTCATGCACAAGACTGCGATCCCCATGTGATGGCGATAAAAGTAATGCATCTGAAATGCATCCCTTTCACAAGGTGAGAGTTCACTAACAGAAACCATCTGCAAAAGAAAAGATTCCAGAAGCGAACGGCTTGTTACTCCAACCAACACCACCTTCATCCTCCTCTTTGAACCTGTAACACAGGCACCCTGCCCTTCACAACTGGATTATAGTAGCCCATACACTGCACTGTTCATAGCTTAGAGATAGTGGTACAGCCAATAGCACATATGCTTTTCAACTGCCCAAAGGAGAATGACCATAAACCAAACCCAAATAAATACATAAGGCCCAGAGCATCATCCCTCACAAACTGCACACATGGATTATATAAAACTAATGTGATAAAAACAAGCCCTGAGCAAGCAAAAAGATCACCTGAACATTAAAAACAGCACAACCAAAATGTATGTATGTGGTTTGAACACAGGACAGGAGGGGTTAACAAAGAGAAATATTTAAGTCACTTAAACAAACAAATCGCTCCTGATAAGGTCTCTGGAAGCAAAAATGAGTGAAAAACAGTCTAAAATGCAAAATAGAATAGGTCTTTTAGATTTTATTATGCAGAGCAAAAGAGGCAGAGCACTGATTACAACCCTGCTTTCATGTACATGTACGTATATGCATTTTTAAAACAGCAATATATGCCTTTGATCCTGCCTATCATTTCTTAGGTCAGGCAAACTCTGAGTCTGACCCATGGCCACCAGTGCAATCAGGAAGAGATAAAATGCAGATTTAAATATAGTACTAAACCACTTAAAGCAGTTTCCCACCACAAGCTTATAGAGGTTTTCTCAGGTCAAAGCCTGCCCTTGAGTTTAGAAGGCAAACCCTTTCACTACTTGTTAAACACTTCCAAGCAATTTAACTTTGTAACCATGCAATTGGAGTTGCTGAAATTTATTAAGTCTAATCAGGCTTATAGTGACCTGCACTTAGAATCACAGAATCATAGTATTGCAGAACCGTTTGGGTTGGAAGGGACTTTGAAGCTCTTCCAGTGGCAGGTGGTTGCAACTGGATGAGCTTTAAGATCCTTTCCAACCCAAACCATCCTGTGATTCTATGTATGATTCTATGATGTGCAGGGCCCATCAGGAGGTCTGATGTCCACTTTAGAAGAAATTGGATTGACCTTTAATGTAAAGGCAGTAGAATTTAAGTGCAACTTTATTAGGTTATAATCTGGTTCTCCAGTGTGTATTCAAGTAACTGCAGCTATGAATTTGCCAGGGCAGAGTCTAACCGGGTATGTGATCTCTCAGCCCAGAGGCACTGTTATTTCTTGGTGAACAAGCTGTGGTGTCTGAAGATGGTTCAGCTGCTGCCATGGCTCAGGGCTGTCTGTGCTGCCCGTTTTAGAGCAGCTTTGCTCACAGAAGCCCTGGGCTGGCGTGCTCAGGCCATCACATACCCAGTTTGGTTGAGTGGTTTCTTGCCTCTACCTCCCTTTATCCCACTTTTATCTGGGATCATTCTCCTCGTCCCGTCAGTGTCCTTGTCACCTCTCCAAACAGCCAGTACTGTGGTGGCTCCACAGAACAAGCCCAAGAGGAAGCGGGCACTCAGCTGAGATTCCCAGATCACCCTTGGGGGCTCAGGAATTGACCCCAGTGAGAGCTTTGTGCCCAAACCTCCCAGGCAGCCGCAGGTACCCTCAGCTGTGCTCACGGGTCCTGGATGCTGCTGAGCAATTTCCATTTCCATTGCTGAAAGAGCCTGCCTTACCTTCCCAGCAGCACGATGACTCTGTTGTTCCTGCACACTCAATAGCAACCAGGGACTTGCTGCATCCACACTGAGCTCTGCTTAAACCTGTGCTTACTGCCCGCTGCACTCGTCTCTGCCATTGATAAATGCAGGTAGTGGGTTTGCAGTGTGCTTCAGGGGAAGCTCTTGACCCTTCCAAGAGTTACTGTGCTCTCTGCCCTTGGTTGATGTCCAAAACTCAGGTCAGAACATCTCTGGGCACATACAATTCACCTGGGAAAGGTGCTTAAATTGACCTCAGGTGGACCCTGTGCACAAGGCAGGTTGCCAGGGGAGCCTGGTGGGTGGGGATAAGAGCTTCAGAGCCCATAAGACCTCGTGGTACAAGAACATCCTCCCTCTGCAAGCATGGGCTCATTTGGCAAAGGCTGGACAAAGAGAAGTGGACAGCTTGGAACAGTAAGTCAAGTGGGTGCTTACAGCAAGGAGCTGGCCTTGGGAGCTGTTGCTGAGGCTTAATGAGAACTCCCTCGAAGCTCTGGAACAGTGGGCAGTGATGCAGTGGCTGGGCAACAGTAGCTCATGCTCTCTCCTAATAATAGAAAAGTTGGGATAGGAGAGGAAACACTGATGTTGATCAAGGGACATACACGGCTGATGCTCCCATCCAGAAGTGCTGCAAGATCAAGTGAGATTTAAGGCAGATTTTTGTATCCCTCCTAAAATGACTGTTGGAGTTCGGCTTGAAAGCTTCTCACTGCAACCGTAAAACCCAGGAACATGTTCTCTGTATTCAGAACAGAAATGTTTTCATTAATCCTTGATTCAGAGCTTAGGTTTCCTTAAAATTCCCGTGCATTCCGTGCCTTGTCATGGAAACAAGAGTGAGAAAAGCAAGTTGCCAACTCCGTGATCCATTTTGGTTTAAGGCTCGTCCATGAGAGCAGTGCAGGTTTCTCCTGGCAGACCTAGTGCTTTTGTTCTACAAAGCAGGTTCTTTACCCCAGTGTAACAGTCCTGAGCCCAGCAGGTCAGACTACAGCACAGGGAGAGGTGGGGAAGAGTAGAGCTGGGACAGGGCTTAAAACGACTGGAGGCAATCACCTTTAGAAATCAGAGAAATCCTTCCACCCACAAAATAACCAAGGAGCTGTTTTCTTTGCTTCGTTTGCCTTCAGTCCCAGTGAACTGAGGGACGCTTTTCTGTTTCCCCACTAGAACGGCAGCAGGAGCTCTGCTCGCTAGACCTGCTTGGTTCATCATTGCAGCTGCTTGTACTGAGCTTGCTTTTAGAGCTGCTCATACTTGGTCCTTCCCTGCTGCAGGTTCCCCTGCAGTAATTGCTCCTTCTCCCAGCTGTAGGAATTCTTTTGCTATCAGCAGTAAGTGTAGGCACTGGAAGATCAGATGTCCAGATGAACACAAAATGCAGGTACAAGGGGGGCCACAGATCACATGGTGCTCTGAAGCAAGGGGCAGCACTGCAACCCCTGAGTACTGTGCTTCTCTATAGGATTTGCTTAGAAGCTGTAAAGCTTTTGCTCAGACATTTTTAGCAGCATTAGCTTTCAATCCCTTTGCTGCATTAAACAGAAGAGGAAAGCAAGGAAATGAGAGATGTAGGCGAGGCAGAAAGACAGCAAAGGAGCGCTGCCTGTGTAGGACCTGTGGCTGAGCATCCTTTGTTGCTGTTATTTTGGGGGTCCAGTCTGCATCCCTGGCTATTGCAGTCCCCTGATTGCACCCCACTGGGATTGACTTTCGTAATTCCCATCTTGTCTTGGGAACTTCATGGCACAGAAGTCTATTTGGGTGTGCTCTCTAAGAGCCTGCAGCTTATGGGTTTTTCAGCTGGCTGGGCATGTCAAGGAGCTGCAGTTCCTTTGAGGAGCAGGTCTTGGATTTTGGAGGCAGAGGAAAGGTATTAGTGCTGTTAAATGCATTTATCTTGACGACAGCTCCTTGGGGATATTTCAGGAAGGGTAAATTCTAGTTAAAATCATTACAAAAAGGTTTAGACTGGATATTAGGAACAATTCCTTCCCCAGAGGGGGCTCAGGCATTGGAACAGGCTGCCCAGGGCAGTCACCATCCCTGCAAGTGTTCACACTCCATGGAGACGAGGCCTCAGTGCCATGGGTTAGTGGTGGCCTTGGCAGAGCTGGGGAACGGTTGGACTTAAAGGTCTTTTGCAACCTCTTTCATTCTGTGATGCTGTGGGGCCAGCAGGAGCTGGGAGAACGTGGCTTTCAGGTCAATGTCTTGTTCAAGGGCTCCTTCTGCAGCCCCCCCTCCCTCCCATCCCCTAGGGATGAGTAACTTCTTCCTCAGGCTGGGAGATGCCTGTGTTTGCTCCTGCAGGCTGGCTGGTGCAGGGGCTGGATGGAGCTGTGTGCTCACCCTACACAGCTCTCATGGTTGACCATCATGGGTCACACAGCTGCTTGGGGAACCAAGAGGAGAGGTTTGTGGGGCAGTAGCAAGGGGTTTTG